TTCTTGCTATTTTTTTTTTCTTTTTCGGTCTCTCTCTGCTCTTTTGCTCTTTCCTACTGCCTTTCATAGAGGTCTTTTTTAATCGAACTAAGAATCAGTAAAGAATCAAATCTATCGTCGTCTTGAATGTGCAAGAACACGTAGAAGTTAATAATTGGAGAACTGTTCGCAAATATTAATACAAATTTATTAATATTTTTTTATATATATATAAAGAATTATTAGTTAAAGGTAATTTATTATAGGATTATTTAAAGGATCAGTTATATGATTATTCATATCTGTTTTCATTGTACATTTGATATCATTTATATTTGATTGTAATTTTTATTTTCGTTTTATATACATTCCTTAAAACGTTTAATTATTTCATGTAGGATATAAGATTTTCACGAATTATAAATGAATATATACGCTTTAATCCTTTAATGTGCACACTTCCGTAGAAAAATAATTAACCTACCGTCAACATAGTGGATTTTGTTAACACCGTTGTGGTTGGATTTTTATCGATGTTATCGTTATTTAAAAAAAAGATCTGAAAAAATTTACTAATACTATTTAAGGATTTCTAGAATATTGTCTAACAATTTCTGTTTTGTATTATTATTAACAACTTCAATTTAATATTAATATAATTATTATTCTAACATGTGTGGCACTGGTCTTGAAAGACTTGGGTTATTGATGAAGGGTTAAGTACGCACGGAATCAATTCGACAAGTCATCTCAACAAGTATACACTTTTGTATGTGTGTGCAGTCAAATTTGCAAAAGGGAAAAAATGTAATTGTCGAAAAACATGTTTAAAGTTGATATTGGTTTCGTTGTTAGAAAGAAAAATTAAGAGATGGGAGTGAAATTGAGCCTTGATACATACTAAGGGTTAACAGTAACATATAGAAGTTTGTTCATTAATCATATTTAAAATATTAACGAAGATAAAATATTTATTCTTAACATAGAACGTTTTAATTAAAAGTAAAGATATATTATATTAATCATAAAAATATACATCAATCTTTTAATTTGTCCTTTTTTTTTCTTTTTTCTTTCAAGACGTTCCGATAAGACGGAATTATTCCTTAACGATGTATACGATCAAAGTCGAGATAAATGAATCGAGAAATATATAAAGAAATAAATATAGTTTCAGTTAAAAAGAAATAAAGAAAGAAAGAAATAAAGAAGGAAAAACGAATATGAGTAAAAGAAATAACGATGGTAGACATTAATCCTTGTCGGCCTAGACGACTTTATCTGCATGCCTGCACGATCTCGTCGAACTCAAGAGGAAACTAAAAAGAAATAAAAAAAAAGATAGAAAAAGATAGAAAAAGAGAAAGGGTGAGAGTGAGTGAGAGAGAGAGAAAAATATAAAAAGAAATAAAAAGAGAGCTATGCGTATAAATATATAACATACATTTTGTTGTACGTCTATTTTTACATTTCCCGACTTGCGTTTGAAAATACTTTGACTTCTTCAGTAGTAATATTCCAAAGATAATAATAACCTCTACTGGAAAATTTCTCTTTCTCTCTTTCTCTCACACTCTCACACTTTTTCTCTCTTTTACGCGTTTTATTTTATATTAATTTTATATCATACGTTTCTTATATTATATATGTTTTATTTTATATTACATTATGTGTTATTTGAAAAATAAGCCAACTTGTAATGAGATCGGGTTCCATTGTAATGGGGCTATTTTAGCTCTTTTCATGGAATTCAAATTCACAAACTCAAATTCAAATTATCTCTCTCTCTCTCTCTTATTCTTCATTCTCTTTTTATCGAGAACCATTTTCTGATCCTCCTACATTTTTCTTCCATTTTTATCTCCCCCTATCGCTCTTTCTTTCTTTCTTTCTTTCTTTTTCTCTCTTTTACACGCATACATATACACATACACATGCTTATATCTTCGATAGCTTTGTTTTTCCAAGAGTACCTCCTGAATATTTCACGATGGGCCGTTCAAAGTGACGTTGCGAGAAGCAACGAGTAGATTCCACTTTGAAATATTGATAAGAAGCTATTTTAATCCTTCCGTTTTACGTATGTATACGTGTGTATGTGTATTTTTATGTGTTGTGATAGGAACCATGTTCGAGAGGAACGAGTAGAGTATTACATTGATGTTTAAAATCACGCTAACTACTGTTATTTAAAATATTATCGAATATTCAATCTAACGCGCGTTACCTTCATTTTATAATTAATTATTTGTCCTTATTAGTAATTAAGATAGTAATCAATACAAATTTTATTTTTTCTTTTACCTAAAATGATTAATGGATGCGCGCGCGATGAGAAAAAAAAGTATAATAGTGTGTAATATATTTATTTTTTAATTTATTATTTTTCTTTATTTATATTTAATTTTAAAAGAGTTTTATAGATATCAAAAATTTTTTTATAAATCGTACCTATAAATTTTATATTTATTTATATATTTTTATATTTTTTATTCTATTGTATTATGCATTATTTATATATATATTAATATTTAAGCTGTTTATTTTGAAAGTGATCTAAGTTCATTTTAGTATTTTGTTGTTGTTGACCGTAATAATATCTATAATTGAAAGTTAACTGTCATAAAAAACATTTCGAGGAAAAATAAAAAATGGACTTACTTAGTCACTATCGAGATAAACGGCTTATTTATTTATTTATTTTTCAAGAATATACAAATCTCAAAATCTACAATTTTATATGATACAATATATATCTAAAAGTTCAAAAAAATATATATATATATATTATAATATTATCGTCGGTGATGTCATTCATATAGACGAGATAATTGTTTTAAATATTATTAATTTAATCTTACAATTAAACATAGGTATTCTTATCGTCATTTATTTCAAAACGATGATCAATTTATTCTAGTTACTAGTTTATTGTTTACGAAGAAAATTCAGACGATTTAATCGAAGTCTTTCTACTTCGAAGTATTGGAACGTTCTTTAATTTTCTTCGAGAATTTTTCTCATTTCTTTCTTTTTTTCCTATCTTTTTCTATTCGTTCGTTCAACTCATTATCAATCCCGAACGTCATGCGAGTTTGCTAGATGCATTATTCAACGTCTAACGACACTTACGTTGTACGTTGTGATACGCAGCACATTTACTCATTGTCAATAAGTAAATATATACAGGATGTTTCATAAATGAATGTAAATACTTTAATATAAGCTATATCAAGGCAATAAAACTAATCAAAAATCGTATACGATCCTATATCCAATATAATTTAATTTTCGAGTTATTGATAATTAAAGATATCGAAGTATCCAACTCTTGGATAAACAAAAGGTACTGTATGCCTTATGTAGCACATCTCAACCTTATCTAAGAATCGCAAATAATGTCTATCGATATGAAGCACAAAAAATTATATGCAACTGATATCTTGTTATCGTGAATAGTGTTAGCAGAACTCAATTAGTGTTAAGAAATCAAGTAAATAATTTCTTCTATTTATAACGAAATGATCAAAACGTATTAAATGGATGGTCGTGCAAACGGAATTAAACCAAAAAGCACGTTGATTATATCAAGAAAACTTCTCGGAAATTATAATAGAATTCCAGATCTAAGAATATTTTCATTCATTCATAGAAATGGTTGGAGCAAAAAAACGGATACTTTAAACATTTTCGTTAATTATCCATAGCTCATTAATTAATATATATCGAACGTATGTTCGTATGACAATTTTTTTATTTGTATTTGTGCAAAGATATACTCCTGTAATTTTGATGTACATTTCAGAAAGATCCTGTATAGAAATGTACATACATATATGCTTACTTATATGCTTGTATTTATCTATTACGTATACTCTCTTATTTTCTTACCTACATACATACTTATATACGTATTTATGCAGTTATGGTTATCGTGTTCTTCTTCGAAGCGTAGATATAGATAACTCATGAACTATAAGTGGTTCGTCTAATAACACTAAAGAAAATTACTGTTCGTAGGCGATAATCGTGAAACGGTATTGCGTGAGAACGGATCCTTCTGAATCGAGAGAACTTAATATGTCAGAATACTTAAAGGAAGTTCCGTGTACTCGTGTAGATGAAACCGTTTACCTCACTGGTTAACGTCTCCATCCGATTAAATCTGACCGTTACGCGTGCACATTGCACCAATAAACTGTAAAAGTTGCATAGACTCAAGGTGGAAGATTTTATGAAGAATAATGTTCGACACACCGCATTCCATTCCGTTTTATATTTTCTTTTATTTCTAATTAATAATTGAGAAGAAACGATAAATACAATTTTTTAGGACAGTTGTAGTTCACTCTTAATTTTTGTAACTTGGAATTTATCCATTTTTTATAATAAGCTTTATTTATTAATGATTATTAATTTTTTTTTATTAATAGTTATTAAAATAAGAAACTTACATTATTAACTATAAAATAACAACTTAAATGTTAACAAAATGACAGGTTTCAAAAAAGTATATAACACGCATATACACATATATTTAATATAAAATTTCTTATATTCGTAGATGAAAAAAAACAATTAAGATTTTTAACGATAGTAATTGATCATTGATTATAATTGATAATTATTTTTTCTGAGTATAATAATAAAAAATATACACATACATATACACATAACATATAAATTCAAACTAAATAAATATCGTCAATTTCTATTCTGTAATAAAAAACAATAAAAATACTTTCAATAAAAGAACAAGATAAATGTACATATACATACGCACACATATTAAAAATATGAAAAAGTACATAAGAAACGTAATTACTTGAAAGATATTAATTAAGAAGAGTAGAACTCGTAACCCGTTTCTTTTCAGGCGTAAAAACCATTCAAGATAATCGTAAGGACGCGGCAAAGTATAGCAACCAATAGGCTTACCGGTTGACTAGTCACGTGGGATTCTGTCACGTGACAGGTAAACTCGGTGGCGCGAAGATAGGAGTCGCCCTCGGCGCGAGACGAGCGCTTAGTTGTTTCGGAGATCTCGTGCGGGTAACATTGATTATTAACGTATTCGAATTCGTGTCATCAAATACATCGTTTAATTATTAAATTCCTATTAAACATAATATAATCATTCAAAATCGAAATTGTGTTTTCTTGTAGAATTTTGTTTCTTTTTTATTTGGATTTTTTTTATTTAATTTTTTTTTATTATGAATTAGTTTGTATTTATAAATATGTTTTTTTATTTTATTAATGATGTAAAGTGATATATAATATTATTTTTGAATGTTGTGAAAAAAAAGGAAAGGAAGGAAGTAAGAAAAAAAGAGAGAAGAAAATAGTGAATGCGATTAAAGACGTGTGCCAAATTAGACACGCTCGCTTATTCATCGGATATACCCAGGTATCTTTTACTTTGTTCATACCATGTTTAAAATCTAAGAGAATGATGACATTTATGCGTGTAATAAAACATTTCTACTTATATACATGCATACATTGCATACATTCGTGTAAACGCGACAAATGATCATAGTTAACTAATGTTACATTTTAGTTCATTTATAATGGATCATTCGAATATTTATTTCATTTTAAATGGTACTGATTTGTTTAAAACCAAATTTGCATATGGGACGGATTTTATTTTTTCATGTTTTTTTTTTTTCGATGATTTTTAATTTCTTTTTAAGTAACATGTAGAAACAATAGTTTTCATATACCTGACTGCAAGTAAATGTTTTAATACGAACAATAATGATTAATATTGTTACAACTCGAATGGCGAATTAAAGTCGTTATCTTGCACTTATTGTTAGGCAAAACAAGTACATGACGAATCTCAATCATTAAATGTATATATTAACCTAAGAGGTTAATTGGGAAGTAATTTTATTTTGTTCATGTTATGTTCAGGAAGAATGATGACACGTAGGATATGTAATAAAATGATTGTCTTTGTTATAGCTTATGTTTTTCACTTTTTACATGCACAAAGTGCACAATGTATAATTACAATTAAATCATGTTTAATTTGATTCACACATTTGACGTAGTATTCAATTATTTATTTAACTAGAAGTTGCTCGTGCCCAGATAATTTGCTTTTCCCCACCCAATGCTTAAAAAAAAGAAAAAGAGATAAAGAAAATCATGCATGTGTAATAAAATAATGATTCTATTAAATAATTTGTTTGATATAAGTATTTGTGCAAACGTGATAGATGAACGTAATAATCTCATGTTTATATTTTAATCAGTCGAATACTTATTTACTTTTTTATACGTTGATCGGTTTGTTTATCTCGTTTAAATTCTATCGTTTGGATCGATGAAAATAGATTGTTGGATTTTATAAAGAGAAACAACGAAAGGGGGAAATTGAAATGAAGTGATGAGCACTTTAATTAAATAATACAGGTGTTACTTATAAAAAAAATACAATATCATATTACTCAGAAAAAATACAGATGTTACTTATAAGAAATACGATTTATATATTATTTAAAACAACTATAAATATTACTGAAATAATACAAATACTAATTATAGGAGATACAACATTTGTTTTACTTACAGAAATACAAATATTACTTTGAATAACTTTATAATTATAATTACAATTGTTTCTCTTGTAATTGATATTATTTTTAATTAATTACAACAAATATAAATATTACAATAACATCGAACAAATGTGAAAACGCGTAAATTGACTTATACGTACAAAAAATAATAATGGAATGTTCAGGAGTTAGGTCAGGTGCGGGCGTGTTTACGATAAAAAAAATGTCACGGATGAAAGAGACGGTGAGAAGAAGAGAGATAGAGATAGATAGATAAAAAGAAAAAAAGATAATATTGCGTTTCACGCGGTTGGATGCTGCGTCGTGCTTCGCCGGCTAAACTCGTGTAGTGTAAAATGAGCGCAGAAGCACACTCGAATAAAAGTGCATTACGTCAGACACTTTTTCAGGAATTTCAATCCTCTCAAATTTCCATCTAGATTTCTCTCTTTCATTCATTTTAAATAAATCACTTCTAATTCTATTTGATTTTTCTTTACTTTTTCGTTGAAAATTAGATCAATTAACAAAAGACAAATGTCTAATGTATCCAGAATTAGATTAATCTAAGTCAATCAAATTATATGTGCCAGTAATTATAACAGCGTACTAATAAGACATAAAATTGATAGTATTGATTTTCTGATTAATTAGTCATATTAAAGTCCATGCGCGTATTTTGTAATTTATTTAATTAAAAAAAAAAAAAAAATGACAAGAAAATACTTATTGACGGATTAAATGTAATTATAAATAATTGTAGGTAAAAATATATGTAATTCGAAATTTTTTTCTGATTTATTCAAGTTGACCATATTTATTTGAAGCAATATATTTTCAATTTATTTGATCGGATTTATTTAAATTAAATCAGTCAGTACTGATCTAATGTAATATAAATAATTATATAAAATAAATCATGAAAAATCATTCTATTTTGTTTTGCATCATTTTTATATATATATATATATTATCACAGTTACTGACACATATAATTATTTATGAAATACTTTTAAATACAACATTATGTGTATTAAGAGAATATTTATAACCCAAGGGTAAAATAAATTTGAGAATAAGAGAAAGAGAGAGAGAGAGAGAGAGAGAGAGAGAGAGAGGGAGAGGGAGCTAATAAATATCATATTGAATTCAAAATCCTAGTTTATCCCTGACCATGCATATAAAATGTTAAATCAACCCAAGAGTGGTTCTGCTTTTGAAAGCTCCTCGAATACCTCGAAGAAGCATGCTAGTTGAAGAAAGAGAAATAGATAAGAGTGGAGGGTTCGAGAAAACTAGAATACGAGGGAGAGAGAGAGAGAGAGAGAAATGAAACGACGAAGCAAGGTCATTTTAAATCGTTCTACCTGTCAGTCAGTGTCGTAATAAATGCAGCTGATGTTCGAGTAACTGTACCGAGCAATAACATTCCTCGCTAAAAGGAAGAACCGAAGTCTCTTTTATTTTATTTTATTTTTTTTTTTTTTTTGACATTTTTATTTTCTATTTTTTTTTTACTATTTATTTCTTATTGTTATTACTTGTTTTTTCTTTCCTTCAAAGTCGATTTCCTTTATTCGTTTTTCAGCATCACGTTCGTCTCAAAGTCTCTCTATTATTTTTTTATTCGATTTTATATTTCTATCTCTTTTATGTTAATGTGGAAAAGAAAAGGAAAAAAAAAAACAACAAAAAATCAGCTGTCATTAAATCGGTTTTTATCTTTTTTTTTTTATTTTATAAAAATACGTTTAAAAATAAAATAATTTGTTTTTTTTTGTATAATAATTGTTGTTCTTCGAAGTAAAATCTGTGTTGTAAAACTGAACTCATAATATTTGAATGCAAGCTCTCACGAAGGTGCAAACTTGTCTATCAGATAAGATAAAAATTTATCTATGCGAAATTTTTCTATTTTCATATCGTGATTTTCTCATCTGATATTTATTTTTCATAATAAACGAACTCACAATCACACAATTGTTTCTATAAAATAATTTTGTTCTATTTTAAAATATGAACTTCTACACGTTGGTGCAGACCTTGCCTATCTATCAGATTAAATACAAAATATCACGGTGTAAACTGTTTTTATTATACATTGCAAATTTGTATTTTCATTAGAAATTTTATAATCACAAACTCATATATAATTAAATATATTTATATAAAATAAATTTACAATAATTTATCATAGAAAATAAACCACTTGTTTATCACACACATTTGATAAAAATATTTCAACGTGAAAATTTTCCATTAAACGTCAATAATTTATTTTCCATCATAAATAAAAATGTGATCTCACAATCATCTATGTTTTTATAATATAATTTTCATTCGAAATAATCGTAAAATTTAAAGAAGGTGAAAATTTGTGTCTAGAAGATTAGATAATAGTTCCTTATTTAGTGTGAACGTTCTTTCTGCATCGAATCGTTTCGTTCCACTTTCAATACTCGTAACAATATCGGATGACTTGAAAGTTAAGTAACGACAGATCACAACGATTACGAGGGAAGACGTTTCTATCCTCTTGAGAGAGGAGCAAGAAAATAGTACAGTTATCGAACCGTCGAGGTCGATTAATATACATGTATTTACATACATATACTCATGTACATATACGATATATTTGACAAATCGATATACTCGACGATATTTGATTGATTATTCAATCGATCATTTTTATTTCAAATATGTCATACTTGAAATGAATTATTATTATTATTATTATTGCTATTGTATTTCTCCTTGCTTCAAAAAAAAGTATCCCTACATAATGTTAATAAATCATTATATTTGTTATATTATTGTAATTGAAATTTTATAACTTAAAATATAATAATTATTTTTTTCAATATAAAAGAATCTGACATGAAACAAAATAAACTTACGAGCATATAGATATATTAATATATATTTACATATTTAAAAATAATCGATACACACACATAATAATATCAGAGAAAATAATTGTTTTCTTTTCTTTTTAAAATAAAACTTCGATCTGTTGTAAGTAATAGAAACAAAAAATTACAAAATAACATGATCATTTAGCATCGCTCGAAAGAACTTGTCTGACTGTCTCGGAAGAAAGTTGATTTGCTAATTAACCTTGTTCTAGCCTTTAATGGTGTTGCGCGTATGCGTGTATGTGTGTGTGTACATATGTGTCGGGTCTTGACCTTTAAGCAGTTTAATTGAACGATTTGTTTACTCATTTTGATTTCAATGTATATGTAAGACTTATATATGTAAGACATGTATGTATGTGTAAACTTACTTATGGGTGTTTGTCCTATGCACATAAAACTCTTCTGCCAATGAATATTTTAAGATATCAACCATGCGTATCGAGATATCTTGAAAATGTCATTTCTAGTTGGACGATATACTTTAAGATTAGAAAATCGATGGTAATTCATATTGCTGAATAATTTTCTTAGATGACGTATGTAATTTAAATAAATATCTAAGTGTATATTTAAATTACAAATTTATGTAGCATTATTGTTCGTTCTTTCATTGTTACATTTTTATAATCATTTACACATCTGAAAAAATAGAAATTTATTTATTAAACTCTCTGTCGTATTAATATTATTTAAAAATATGTAGATATAATTTATCAAATATATTTTGAAGAGAAAACAATATACCAAAATGTCATTGATTTAAAAATAAACTATTAACATTTTTTTAATAAATAATGATCTAATGTTCATTATTGTAAATTAAAACTATGTATATATTGTATACGAAGAAATTTATTCCCCAGTCTAATATAAAATACATTTGTGTTGAAATGAAATAAAAGATATTATAGGATTATTTATTTGTACGTATGTGTACGTGTATAAATATGAAAAAAAGGATCCTTTAAGAGTGTAATACGTAAATAAGGATGGTTCGAAATGTACTTGTATATTGTCTCATACCGTTATCTTTAAGTCACGGAAGATTCAATATGGCCGCTTATCCGTTATGTGCAATACGCCTAAGCGAGGAACATCTTCCTCTCCGTAAATATAATACATGCGAACGTGTCAGCCATTCGATCGAGTGTCTCTCTATCTTTCTCTTTCTCTATCTCACACCTTCTCGTGTGTTCTGTCTATCTTGTATGTGTTTGAAAAAGGAACCGGTATTAGGACCGTAATAGATGGTGAGAAATATTTTTTTTTGTAGATTCAGATATCTCGCAAAGGAATGGACCGATCAAACTTTTGATTACAAATATAGAATATTTTATGTGGCTTTCAAATTTTTTTATTTTTCGCACCCCAAAACTTCGATTTCAACGATAGTTTATATATTTTTATATTTTACGTAACACTCTGATCTTTGAAATTTAAATTACACATTTAATATATAATTAATAATATTTATTTTGAAAATATTTATTATTTTCTATCATAATATTGTTTATAACTATATTTATAATTATATAATTTTAATAAAAAGTTAAATTACAAAAAAAAAAAAAAATAAAAAACATTAACGTATAATATAATTTAATTTTCTTGCGTTTAGGCTTATTATTAATTTTCAAATTGTAAAGAGAAATTCATAGAAAATTGATAAATGAAAATATAAATAATTAATATTTTTATCGTATTTCCTAAATGAGTCAGATTTAAATAGTATTACAAACCACAACATTTAAGATAATTATCATCATCCGGTCATGTATCGTAACATGCACAAGTGTTAATTGTGAAAAGAAAATCCTGCGCGTATCAAAGAACGCTCGTTAGAAAATTCTAATTTTGTTGTTGTTAAATAATATGCTAGTATTATTATTTTAATTGTTAATTAGAATTTTAAATCTAACAATAAAACTCACATTATCAACATATGTTGATCAAATTTTACAGAAAAAATAAACCTGGACACCCTGTATATATTGATGCACACATGGTAAGCGTCTTGTGAATAGATAAAGAAATAATGTTTCACTATTATATTGTATAGACGAGTTGGTTTTGCTAATCCATGTGTGTCATTGTATGAGTGGATATTTAAACGTGTTAAACGAACGTTACGTAGGACATGGAAAAATCTTATTCATGACGCATATGTGTATATTTAAATACACATATTGCATTCGTATATACATATATACATGTTAAGTACGACCTTCGATAACGTAATCAATAAATTCTAATACTCTAACTAATATTTTTATTTCACGGAAAATACTTCAACTTAATGAATCCGAATGTTTTGTTATGCGTACTGAAAAATTTCATCACAAGTTTCTAACATAATCTATACGTGTATTTTAATATTTTTCTATTTTTTGGTTCAACGTGGTATTCTTTTTTTTTTTTAACACGATTTTTATTTAACATCGTCAACAAATTTAATTCAATTCTTTTTTTCTACGTGGTCCCATTTTTCACGATTTGAATTTCCAATTTCCTTTCTAGCCGACCTTTTTTTTTTTCTATCCAAAACAGTTCAAAAATTGTTTCTGTTTTTTTTTTTTTTTTAATACAGTTTTGATTTAACACGATCAGAATTATTAATTCGGTCCCAATTTTTATACAATTTTTTTGTCTATTTAATACAATTATAAAATAAATTAATTTTTTCAAACCTGAATTTATAATATAAATTTTTGGATAACATTTTATTTATTTATATTTCTTTTATAGGCTTTACAGATTTGCTACTTCAATAACCAATTGTTTCATGTACACGATCTTCGTGTACAGTTTTCGATTTTCTAAAAATCCAATTTGATTTAAATTAGAAAAATAATATTTCGCTTATTTTCTTTTACAAGTGTCATAAATTTATTATTCATACAACATTTTCATTACAGTTAAATTCTAATTCGATTTTTAAATTGTGGAAAGAAGAAGAAATATTTTACGTATTTCCTTGAATATAAGTTGTACAGATTTGTAATACAAATAATCAATTCTTTTCATGTATATAATGCCGGAATTTCTTTTTTTTCTTTACACGTTTTTGTATTTTCTGGAACGAATTTAGCATATAAAAGAAGAAATTGGTTGTACTCATTTTGTAAACGAAAATTTATTCGAACGCGGACCGTCTACTCGGTAAAGACATTAAGAACGTTACTCCGCATAATGAGTCCGGCCACTTAAGTCATTCAGAAGGATAAAGATCGTCATAAAATCTCGTACTACTCGGACGTTACGCGAGATGTCCAAATTGGGACAAGGACGTCGGTGCGTCGTCTAGCTGCACGCGCTACATTATAATTCAATGGTTAAAGTCAATTACGGTGCATACGGTTGAGAAATAAGTGAGAGGAAGGGCGGGGTGTGGGGTGGGGCGGGGAGGGGGCGAGAAAATGGTAGTGGGAGTAAAAAGAGGAATAAATTCTATTGCGCTAAAATTTTTAATCCAATTGATCAAAACATTTCATTTAATCCATCAATTTTGATAACACACCAAAATTCAATTTCATTAGGAGGTTATATAAAATAATAACAAATAAGAGCAATAATATACATTTTTTTTT